AAAAAAAAAAAAAAAAAAAAAAAAAAAAAAATCCAGAACTGTCATTGTGGTCAAAAGTATACTTATGAGCCAGAATGTTAGGTTGCATTCAAAGATGTAGGGAATTTCTCTAAGTAGGTAGAGCCAAAGTAGACAATCGTATGCTTCAAATAGATGAGAATTTTCTCTAGGAAAGGATATATCTCTGAATAATTTAGAAAGCAAATCTGGTTTCATTTAGGAGGAAAGTTGCAAGGATACATGATACAGAACAAGGCCTATGGAGGAAGGATACCTCATCCTTGGAGGTGTTCATACATGTCTAGACCCCAATAATGTAGGGAATTTGACTAGATATTTTTTAAATTCCTGTTTTACTCCAAGATTCCAAGATCCATTAAAGTGTCTTAAAAATTTGCTAATGAACCAAACATAGAATACCCTTAAACGATACAACTTGGCATAGACATGCCAAAAAAATTACTTTAATGATCACACAATAATTAATGCAGAAATTTTACTATTTGTGATTTACACACATACAGAAAGTCTATGAGATATTACCTTAATCCACATTTTATAGATAAGAAAGCTGTGTTGACATTGCCATCTGGATTGCCACCCATTGCCACCCAGATGGCCCCAACTTCAGGGTTAAGGGTGTCAAACCACAGCATGATGTTACCTAGTCTTTTTTTGCTGTTGCATTTTTCACTAATCTGTATTTCCTAACCTGTGGTACACACATTTACAAATACTATGCTATTTTACTTTCACCACAAGTGAATAAAGTTGGTTTAATTATGCTTGTATTTTCTATGAGGAAAATGAGTTTCAGAGAGGTTATACTATAACTAACACCAGAGCTGAGAGCCAAACTGAGGTCTAACTGCACATGCTTTGCGTTTTTATGGCTTATTATGGTTGGCTGAGCTTTTGAAATCCAACTCAGAAACACTTATAACCCTTAATCACCTAGTCTTCTCTGCTACTAACAGCACTTTTTCATTTAAAATCCAGAATGCTAACATAACCATGGAGGGTAAGGTGCTAAGGGGTCACTTCTATTTATTTATAAGGATAAAAACCAATTCCTCATTCCCAAGTTCACCCTGCGTTGTACTTTTGATGCTAATGGGGTTCACCTCGGCCAGCTGGGAGGAAGCAGGTGACTGCTTTTCAATACATACGCTTCAGTTCACACAGTATCTTCTATGGCATGTGGGTCAGCTAGAGATTCAGGGGCAGTTTTTTATCTCTGTCCTTGACTCTCTATGCTGTTTAGACCAATGCTCCTTGAGGTACATTATAGCTGCCTAATGAAAAGCAAGTAAGGAGAAATAAGGCATCTGAATATGTTTGAGCATCAGTATCAGATGTGACTATGAAAAGTCACTTAATATTTACGTCTTCCTACTGTGTATGTTTTAGTTAATATGAATGTATCAATTCTTGCAGCTACTGCACAGAAAATTCCTTTCATCTGTCCTCACCACAACCATTGCAGGGTCCTCTGAACTGGCTTCACTGACTCTTGCTTTCTCTCCAGATAGTTGTCTACACTGACACTGACATCCTAATACACACATTTGTTCATGTAATTTCCCTGCCTAAAATCACCTACCAGTTCCTTTTTGCATAGAAGATAAAATTCCAAGAGACCCTGTAGCCTCAACTCATTTGTGTATTCTTTGGAAGTGAAAACCACACGAACCCGTGTGTCATTCACTAGTGGTAGCATCAGTCTTAAGCCAGAAATGATCTGGGGCTGGGCAAGTGGCAGCAGGGACCTAAGGAAAGATTCTAAATCAGGCTGTGGTATACATTTCCTGAGTTTGCGGTTGTGCCCAGGCCTCATGACCCCTGGCAAATTCCTTGTCCTTGCTCAGTCTGGCATCTTTTGATCCTACAGTCATTCCTTGAGGCACAAGCCTCAAGCTGGTGACTGTGTGGACCCAATTAGATCTCATTTACATACATTTACATCGCAGTTTTGACATCCTTAATGGGCTCCGGAAGCCATGCTGATTCAGCTACTCCCATGTAAGTTCCAAAGCTCCTGTCCCAACCTTGAAGGTGGAGGAGGCTCACAGTTAATGGAATGAATCTCCATTAGTTACCACCCCCAAGCACACCGAAGATTCTGACGGAATGCGAGAGCTCACTGCAGTTCCACAAACATACCTCCTCTAATTGCTCTGGTATTAAAGCGTATGAGCTTGGATAAATTAACTTCTCTGCAATTTGGTCTTTGACTTTTTTGAA